TTGCTACTGTTCCCTGGGGATCCTTTGCATAATTCTTGCCCGCGAAAGCCGTTTGCTTTGCCATCTTGTCGATCGCGTTATCGGGACTTGATTCATTCGAACGGATAAAATTTACCGCGTCCTGCTTTATCCGGTCAAATTCCTTTGCATCAAAACGGGGAGCACTCAAGGCATCCGTATATAATGGCCATACGGCATCGAAATCACCTTTAATGCAGTTCATGCTGACAGAGGCATAGTCCATACCTGTAAAGCCACCTACCTGTGCACTCACTTTATCCAGCTTATCTTTAAAACTGTTTTTATCATCTTTTGTGGTTCCGCATTCTGTAAGCGCCTGGATCGCCAGGTTTTCAATGCCGGCTTTGGTGGCGGGATAATTTTGCACGCCTCCCTTAATCACTGTTTGTACGACCACGATTTCATTACCGCTGGGCTGAACGATCACTTTGACGCCATTGATCATCATATCATATGGCTCTGTTTTTTGCGCCAGCAACGCAAACGGCGCAATCAATGCAAGGCTGACAATAAACAGGTGAATTATTTTTTTCATCTTAGAATGATTTTAGGTTTTTGAAATATTCAGCCGGCTTCAATTGTTTATTCATTTCCTCGTTAATGATCATCCCGGCCACATACGGTTTATTGATGACGTATTTTTTAAGATAGTCCTGGATATTCTTCCGGCTGATATTCATCAAACCCGGAATATAATCCGTAAAGAAATCAGCAGAGGCGCTGCACCACCAATACGTGAAACTGCTCGCCAATGAAGATGGCTTTTCATTGTTTCGTATGTGATTACGACGGAGAATATCTTTCGCCGTTTGCAACTGTTCATCCGTAAAATAATTATCATCCGCGAAATGACTGATCTGGTTGATCACCTCGGCGGAAAATTCTTTCAATTTACCTGGGTTAGGTATCGCGAAAATGGAAACTGGCCCGGTGTATTTTTCTGTCTGGTAGCTTAGGCCCACATAGCTGGCGAGTCCTTTATCGATCAGCGCCTGCTGCCATTTGGAAGAATTCAAGTTTAAAATAGTAGAGAACACATCAGCCGCCAGTGTTGCAACGGAATCATTCCTCGTG